GACTAAAGAAAGCTAAGAATTTTTTTTAACAAAGTCTGTTTGTACAGATTTCTCTCTGCCTGGACTCCTCATTTCTGGAGACAAGGATGTTTCTTTTCTCCTGATAGGAGGAGGGTGTCTTTCACACAGGAATTTAGTTTCACGCCCTGTTTCAGGAAGGCAAGGGAAGTGCATCTGCTGTTTTTTCAAGTGCCTTTAGCTCAAAATAATCAGTATACCAAAATGGCATGTCCTGAACTTTACATGCCATGTTAACACTAATCAAAAGAAAGCTGATAGCTATACTATTCTCAGACAAAGTAGATTTAGTGCAACAAATATTACCAGAGATTAAAAGATAATTTCATAATAGTATAGGAGATAGTACATTGATAATAATGTACTAACATAATTATTATAACATAATAATTATAAACTGAAAGTCGCTCAGTCATGTCTGACTCTTTGTGACCCCATGGACTGTACAGTCCATGGAATTCTCTAGACCAAAATACCTGAGTGGGTAGCCTTTCCTTTGCAGGCAGATTCTTTATCAGCTGAGCCACAAGGGAAGCCCAAGAATACTGGAGTGGATAGCCTATCCCTTCTCCAGTGGATCTTCCCGACCCAGGAATTGAACCAGGGTCTCCTGCATTGCAGGCGGATTCTTTACCAACTAAGCTATCATAATGCTCTCATAAATATAATAATAATAATGATAAACACTTATGCATCAAATAACAGAGCTTCAAAATAATATGAAACAAAAGATGACATAACTACAGGGAGAAATAGACAAATCCACAATTATGATTAGAGTTCAAAACCACTCACTCAATATTTGATAGAGTAAGTTCACAGAACACCATTAAGGATATAGAAAACTTGAATACTGCTATCAGTCAACTTAATCTATTTAACATTTATAGATCCCCCAACCCAGCAAAACAAGAAACCATATTCTTTTCAAGTATACATGGAACATTCACCAAGACAGCTCATAAGCTAGACCATCAATAAACGTCTTGATAAAAGTATTGAAATCACACAGAGTATATTATCTTATGAAAGTGGATTGAAATAGAAACCAATAACAGAAAGATACGTGGAAAACCTCAAAATATTTGGAAATTAATAACACTTTTAAATAACTCATTGGTGAAAAAATCAAAACAAAAATTAGAAAGCATTTTGAACTAATGAGAAATGAAAAGACAACATATCAAAAGTTGTGGATGCTGAGAAAGCGGTACATTGTGGGAAATTTATAGCAGTAAACTCTTTAGTTATAAAAATAAAACCTCTCAGATCAATGGTTCAGTTTCTACCTTAAGAAACTATTTTTTAAAAATAGCAAATTATATTGGTAAAAAAAAAAGCAAATTAAATCCAAAGTAAACAAAAGAAAGAGTAAATATCAACACAGAAATTGGTGAAATAAAAACCAGACAACCAATGAAAGCTGATGAAACCAATAGCTGTTTTCTTCGAGAAAAATCAGTAAAATCCTTAGTGTGACCTGAATCCTTCTAAATTTATTGAACAGAATAGAGCCCATAAATATAGCCACACATGTATGGTCATCTGATTTGAGACAAATGTGTCAAAGTTAATTCAGTGATGAAAAGATATGTTTTCAACAAACGATGCTAGAAAAACTGCACATTTGCAAAAACAAAAAAACCAAACCCTTCCTTTACACCACCTACAAAAATCAATTTAAAATGGATCATTGACCTAAATGCAAATCCTAAGACTAAAAAACTTCTGGAAGAAAACACAGGATAAAATCTCTGTGACCCTAGCTTCAGTTCAGTCCCTCAATCATGTCCGACTCTTTGCGACACCATAGACTGCAGCACGCCAGACCTCTCTGTCCATCACCAACTCCTGGAGTCTACTCAAACTCATGTCCATTGTGTTAGTGATGCCATCCAACCATCTCATCCTCTGTCTTCCCCTTCTCCTCCTGCCTTCAATCTTTCCCAGCATCAGGGTCTTTTCAAATGAGTCAGTTCTTCGCATCAGGTGGCCAAGGTATTGGAGTTTCAGCTTCAACATCAGTCCTTCCAACATTCAGGACTGATTTCCTTTAGAATGGACTGGTTGGAGCTCCTTGCTGTCCAAGGGACTCTCAAGAGTCTTCTCCAACACCACAGTTCAAAAGCAACAATTCTTTGGCACTCAGCTTTCTTTATAGTCCAACTCTCACATCCGTACATGACTACTGGAAAAACCATAGCTTTGACTGGATGGAGCTTTGTTGGCAAAGTAATGTCTCTGCTTTTTAATAAGCTGTCTAGCTTGGTTATAACTTTTCTTCCAAGGATCTAGCATCTTTTAATTTCATGGCTGAAGTTCACTACCTGCAGTGACTTTGGAGCCCCTAAAATAAAATCTTTTTTTTTTTTTTTAGAAAAAACACTTTTTCCACTGTTTCCCCATCTATTTGCCCTGAAGTGATGGGACCAGATGCCATGATCTTAGTTTTCTGAATGTTGAGTTTTAAGCCAACTTTTTCCACTCTCCTCTTTCACTTTCATCAAGGGGCTCTTAAGTTCTTCTTCGCTTTCTGCCGTAAGGGTGGTGTCATCTGCACATCTGAGGTTATTGATATTTCTCCCGGCAATCTTGATTCCAGCTTGTGCTTCATCCAGTCCAGCATTTCTCATGATGTATTCTGCATATAAGTTGAATAAGTAGGGTGACAATATACAGCCCTGATGTACTCCTTTTCCTATTTGGAATCAGTCTGTTGTTCCATGTCCAATTCTAACTGTTGATTCTTAACCTGAATACAGATTTCTCAAGAGGCAGGTCAGGTGGTCTGGTATTTCCACCTCTTTAAGAATTCTCCACAGTTTGTTGTGATCCACACAGTCAAAGGCTTTGGCATAGTTAATAACGCAGTAGATGCTTTTCTGGACCCTAGCTTAGGTGAAGACTTTTTAAATAGGACACAAAAAAACACAAAGATTTCTATTCTTCAAAAGTCACCATAAAGGGAACAAAAAAACAAAAAGACAGATTGGCTAAAACAAGTAAATAAATAATGATAATAATGCAAAACAGATACCTAATAGTTTGTATCTAAAAAAAGAAATCATAGAAATAATAACAAAAACAATCCAATTTAAAAATGAGCCGGAGGGCCGTAGCCACTGTCCCGCAGGAAGTGAGGGTCGCAGTCAGGGGTCGACGGTCCCTGTTACTTAGCGGGAGCAAACTGCACGGCGGCGGGCAGAAGCCTAAAAGCCAGGCAGAGGCGGAGCGAGCTTCCAATCCTTCCCCAGGCGGTCACGTGGGCGGTCACGTGACCACACCCGGAAGCGCGGCGCGGACTCCTGGCAGGTCGGTAGGTGTTTGGCTACGACTCGGTGCGCACAGTCCGAGGGCCTCGGTGGGCGACAGGGTTTCCTCCGGGACGCCGGCGCGGCCCTCCCGGAAGCAGAGTCCCCACCGCCAGCCTCACCCACCCGGCGTGGGAACGTGGGCGGGTCGCTTCACTTCTGGTAGCCAGAGTTTCTGCAGCTACGAAATGGGGCGGTTGCCACTCTGAGGTTCGGGGAAATGGGGGGCGAAACTTCCGCATAAACTGTAAAGTGCAGGGCAAACAAGAATGCTGCCAGTGGGCAGGTCCTATTGCTGCGTCCTCCAGCCCTTCAGGGGCGGCGGCCATAGGGGCAGTTTGGGGGGAGAATGGTGAAAATGAGTGTTGGCGGGGCGGGGGGAGAGAAGGGGCAGACATGTTCCCCAAGTTGCCGCGGCTCCATCTAAAGCTCCACTGAGTCCCTCCTTAGAGCAGAGAGCAGGGAAACCACAAAATAACAACAGTGAGGTCCTCTTTCCAACAGACCTTTTGAAATAAAAGCAGAACTTAGTGTCCACTAGAGAGTACTTCCATATTAATGGGAAGATGGCGTTAAGGTCAGTCATGGCAGTGATGTAGTAGTTATGTCTCATGTTGCACAAGATGCTGAGCCCTTAACAGCCCTTTCTTGCCTTTTGTTTGCTTACAATGTTTGGCTTCCTGATTAAGGCAAAGCTTTATATTCTTCCTGCTTTTTATCATCAAAATAGGAGTGGTTCTGGAGCTAGTTTAGTTCACCCTGTTTTTGAGGAGGGGAGCTGGGAAATCAGCATAGTGACTCTCCCACCTCACCTCTCTGTGTGAGAAGAGCTTTCCAGGTGACACAGTGGTGAAGACTCTGCCTGCCAGCGCAGGAGACACAAGAGATGTGGCTTCAATCCATGGGTGGGAAAGATCCCTTGGAGAAGGAAATGGCAACACATTCCAGTATTCCTGCGTGGGAAATACCATGGACAGAAGCGCCTGGTGGGCTACAGTCCATAGGGTTGCAAAGATTAGCACATGATTGAGCACACACCTCTGTAAGAAAGTAGTTTGCTAAGGATGTGACTGCCTGGTTGCTCCCTGACTCACTAGAACCCTGGAGGGAGATGGAGCCAGAGGTTGAGCCCAGAGAGGTGTAAGTGCCTTGGCAAAGCCAGAACTAGAACCAGGTCTCCCATGCCTGTTGTATTGGTTTACTGCCATTCATTGGATCATCCTGGGATATCTCCTGTCTTCCAGGACTGAGTCTCTGTCTCCCTGGGATGTGCTGTGCTATTTCCCAATAGTCACTCATAGCAGGCTCCCTGGGGGTGCTCCCTAGGCTTGCTGACCACACCATGGTTCAGAGTGACCCACAGGGAAATGAGAGTGCTCAGGAGGAAACAGTAGGTGAGAATTACTGTTTGTGGCCACCTGCTATGTCCAAAGGACTGTGCTTGCCAGGTCCATATTCTCCATTGTGGGAAAACAGGGGTGAGCAGTATGCGGAGCACTGGGACACCCCCTGGCAGTGGGGAGTGTGTTCTGAGCAGACTGCCCAAGAGCCAGAGAGAGACCTTTGACCACTCAGTCCTCCACCATCTTGTCCACTCCCTGGAATGGGCAGCAGTTGAAATGAGAGCCTCTGCTTACTCTTATGCCCCCCATCCCCGCCTGTTTTGATTAGGTCGTGGAATGCTATGCTGATCTCCATGAGCTGGTTGCCGAGTCTGTCTGCTGCAGCCCTTTCTGAGCCTTCAGCTGTCAGGAAGCTCTGCTGTGCTCCTTGCCACGGTAGGTGATTCTGCCTGAGACGGAGGCAGGCAGCAGCCACCCTGGGGCTGCTCGGACTATGGGAGGTGGACAGGGTGAGGCAGGCAGAGGACTGAGCTCTCTCAGGCTCTGCAGAGCTGTCTCAGCCCCATCCCCTGCCTGCCCCAGCTCTGCATCCTCATGTCACCTTTGCCTGTTCTGTTCTTCGTCCCTGGCATCTAGGTGATCATCACAGCCTGTTGGTGTTGTTTAGCTGCTAAGTCATGTCCAACTCTTTTGCGACCCCATGGACTGTAGCCCACCAGACTCCTCTGTCCATGGGATTTCCCAGGCAAGAATACTGGAGTGGGTTGCCTTTTCTATCTCCAGGGGATCTTCCTGACCCAGGGATGAAACACACCTCTCCTCCATTGGCAGGTGGATTCTTTACCATTGAGCCACCTGGGAAACTGCATCACTGCCTACCAGACCTCTAAGCTACACCTCCTGAATCAGCCCCTTCCTCCTCTGGCCTTCAGCAAGGAGTGGACCCACATTACCCCACACCAGGATAACTGGCCTCCATAACCTTGACCCCACCCATCCATGGCGCACACCCTTACCAGCCTATAGGGACTCTCTGTTTACAGACTCTATTGTACAGCCCACTATTCTCCAACCCACCCACTTCCTTCCCATCAGGCCAGCCCCTTGAGTCCTGAACTTTGCCAGGCTCATCTGGGAGTCCCAGGGCAGCCTCTTTCGGGCCCACCTGCCCTCACGCAGCAACCTTTCCTTTCACGCCCCATTGCTTTCCTGGTCTCTGCTTGGTGAGTAGCAATTCCGTGGGAGTAGGCTACGTTCTCTGTTTTTCACTGTGCTGGAAACACTGTGAAGTTAAGTGCTCTGAGTTAAAGTTGATAATCCAACTGGAGACTGGGGAGGAACTCCGTAAGTATCACCAAGCTGGTCACCTAGGGGATCCTGAAGAGTATAACTGAGTCTGAGACCTTGAGATAACAATGGTCCTTCTGAGGAAACTGGACGTCCACCCATGGCAGAGTTAAGAGCAGGGCTTCCTCATCACTGTCGTGTCTTAGCACACGTGTAATGTGCTCGTGTGCATGTGACATGCTGAGGTACAGGAGAACGTCTGAAGCCCCTGCCTGGGGCAAGCAGCTGGCCCAAGAGCTCTGGCTTCACCAGGTGTGGCCAGGCTGCCCCAGGAGTTGAGAAGGTCAACGTCTTGCTGTACCTCAGGGGGCCAAGGCCCAGAGTAAGAAGCTGTGAATTAAAAATCTACCATGGGGAATACATGTAAATCCATGGCTAATTCATGTCAATGTATGACAGAAACCACTACAATATTGTAAAGTAATTAGCCTCCAACTAATAAAAATAAATGAAAAAAAAATAAAATAAAACTAAACCAGAACCTCTTAAAAAAAAATCTACCATGGTGAATAGGAAAACACATTTTACATAATCAAGAATTGTGTGTTGCAGAGAGGGTACATGTGTGGGTGATGGGGAAGGAGGTCTGAAAGGGCAGAGGGTGCTGGTGGAGGTGGCCGAGGAAGCAGCAGCTAAGCAGGGGTGAGAACTGTGGCCAAGGTCACACAGCCTCTGTGTCCACCAGGGCAGGAGGAGCTTGTGATTGAAACTCCCATAATGCTGGACCCACTGCCTGTGGGCTTTGGAGCTGATACTCTGGAGCTGTTTTTGACTTGAGTAGAAGTACTGGACCACCCAGAGGGAGGTGCACTAGCCCCCCAGTGTTCCAGACCAGGCCCTGACTGCCTGCCTCCCCTGTGCAGTCGACCCCACGTCCAGATCACGAGCTGGGTCCTTCTTTACGCTTGGTCCTGGTAGGCTGGTAGTGTGTCTGATGCTGTGTTTAGAAAGCCTGGATAGCACAGGAAAGGGCCCAGCCTTGGCATTCAGTTCAGTTCAGTTCAGTTACTCAGTCGTGTTTGACTCTTTGCAACCCCATGAGCCGCAGCACGCCAAGCCTCCCTGTCCATCACCAACTCCCAGAGTTTACCCAGACTCATGTCCATTGAGTTGGTGATGCCATCCAACCATCTCATTCTCTGTCTTCCCCTTCTCCTCCTGCCCTCAATCTTCCCAGCATCAGGGTCTTTTCAAATGAGTCAGCTCTTCGCATCAGGTGGCCAAAGTGTTGGAGTTTCACCTTCGACATCAGTCCTTCCAATGGACATGCAGGACTGATCTCCTTTAGGATGGACTAGTTGGATCTCCTTGCAGTCCAAGGGACTCTCAAGAGTCTTCTCCAACACCACAGTTCAAAAGCATCAGTTCTTCGGCACTCAGCTTTCTTTATAGTCCAACTCTCACATCCATACATGACTACTGGAAAAACCATAGCCTTGACTAAATGGACCTTTTTTGGCAAAGTAATGTCTCTGCTTTTCAATATGCTGTCTAGATTGGTCATAACTTTCCTTCCAAGGAGTAAGCGTCTTTTAATTTTCATGGCTGCAGTCACCATCTGCAGTGATTTTGGAGCCCCCCAAAATAAAGTCAGCCACTGTTTCCACTGTTTCTCCATCTATTTGCCATGAAGTTATGGGACCGGATGCCATGATCTTAGTTTTCTGAATGAATGTTGAGCTTTAAGCCAACTTTTTCACTCTCCTCTTTCACTTTCATCAAGAGGCTCTTTAGTTCTTCACTTTCTGCCATAAGGGTGGTGTCATCTGCATATCTGAGGTTATTGATATTTCTCCTGGCAATCTTGATTCCAGCTTGTGCTTCTTCCAGCCCAGCGTTTCTCATGATGTACTCTGCATATAAGTTAAATAAGCAGGGTGGCAATATACAGCCTTGACATACTCCTTTTGCTATTTGGAACCAGTCTGTTGTTCCATGTCCAGTTCTAACTGTTGCTTCCTGACCTGCATACAGGTTTCTCAAGAGGCAGGTCAGGTGGTCTGGTATTCCCATCTCTTTCAGAATTTTCCACAGTTTATTGTGATCCACACAGTCAAAGGTTTTGGCATAGTCAATAAAGCAAAAATAGATATTTTTCTGGAACTCTCTTGCTTTTTCGATGAGCCAGCACATGTTGGCAATTTGATCTCTGGTTCCTCTGCCTTTTCTAAATCCAGCTTGAACATCTGGAAGTTCACGGTTCACATATTGCTGAAGCCCAGCTTGGAGAATTTTGAGCATTACTTTACTAGCGTGTGAGATGAGTACAATTGTGTGGTAGTTTGAGCATTCTTTGGCATTGCCTTTCTTAGGGATTGGAATGAAAACTGACCTTTTCCAGTCCTGTGGCCACTGCTGAGTTAAAAATAGGAGTAACTGAAGATTCCTGCTTTGCTGTGAGGGTGCTGTGAAGTAACACCAGGAAGGCCCTCGTGGTAGTGCCCAGCACATAGTAAAGTCCAGTAAGTATTTTCTGGGATTATGATTTTTTTTGTTAGTCAGGCTGAGTCTGTGGGCGTGGTGCTGGAGGTGACCTTCACCTTGCTTCTCCTTGGCAGATGAAGTGCGTCTTGGTGGCCACAGAGGGTGCAGAGGTCCTCTTCCACTGGACAGATGGGGAGTTTGAAGAGAGTCTGCGCCTGAAGTTTGGACAGACAGAGAATGAGGGAGAAAAGGTGAGTGCAGGGCAGGAGGGTCAGACAGGAGGGAATAGCACAGCACTGTCAGGAGGCAGGGGAGCCTGCCCACCCGCCCTGGCCCAGGGACGAACAAGGCTGAGTGTGTCCTGGCCCCTCTCACACCCACACATCCTCAGAGATTAGCCCTTGGTGCTCTGGAGGGCCGTGACCCACCCTCACCCCATGAGATTTTGAGCATCTTGTCATATGCTTATTTTCTACTTTATATCTTCATTAATGAAGTGTCTCTTCAGGTCTTTGGCCTATTTTTTGTTGCATTGCTTATTTCTTATTATTCTTAGCAAGTTTTGAAAGTTTCCTAGGTGTTATGGATATGTCCTTTAGTAGATACATGTTCTGTAGATATTTTCTTCCAGTCTGTGTCTTGTCTTCATATTTACTGCACAATATCTTTCAAAAACAGATATTTTTAATATGATAACTCCATGTTATCCACTTTTTGCTTTTATGGATCATACTTTTGGTGTCATATCTAAGAAACCTTTGCCCAACCCAAGATCACAAAGAACTTTCCCCGTATTTTCTCCTGGAAGTTTTCTAGTTTTAGGTTTTATATTAGGTCTGATGATCCACTTTGAGTTTTTGTATAGATTGAAGTTTATTTCTTTGCATATAGATATCCAGTTTAATACTTTAATGTGACAACTTGACGATAGTTGTCCTTTTCATTTAGATAAGTTCTACTGTACATTCTAAAGGAATAATTTATTTTGGAATTTTTTCCAGATTAATTTTATATTGAACACTTTGTTATTGAGGATCCAGTAGAGAGTCCTTGCATTTCTGCAGCCACAGAGACTGGTTGCCTCTCAGTGTCCTTCCTGGTCCAGTGGGCCTGGTCATCAGCTGTGCCATGTCAGCAAGTTAGTTCACCTCAACATCACTGATACTCTTTAGGAATAATACAACGTATCAGAGATCATAGACATTTAAGTGATTTTTTAAGCTAAAAACAGGTCTATCTGTTAGGCTCCTTTATTTTTTAGTAGTCAATATACATAATTTTTAAATTAAGAATTTTTAAGTATTTTAGTTCTTAAACCATTGTATCAATATGGTCTAAAAATTTAAGAGGCAGACGATTTGATAGTGTTTTTCTTCCTCTTTTTAAAAACCTCAGAAAGGAAGAAATTCTGATTTTTCAGTTCCTAAATGACTAGCATAAAGAAAAAAAGTCTTCAAAGTTTTATTTCTCTTGGATAAAACACTTTTTCCCCCGGTCCTATAAATAACATGACTTAATTGTAGGAAATTTGGGAAGTAACAGAGAAATAGTTTTTAAATGACCCATAATTCTTCTACCTCAAGCTATTAGCTCTTCAATATATTTTCTTTGGGTCTTTATCTTTTACAAATAGTTGAGATCATACCACACTTACAGTTTTAATTCCTGGATTTTTTTCACTTGCCATTATAGAAAAAGCATTATTCCATTTTGTTAAATATTGTCAAAAGCATAAATCTTAATAGAAACATTATATTCAGTATATGAATAAATATAGCATCATTTATTTAGCCATTTCCCTGGTACTTGACATGTATATTGCTTCTAGTTTGCTATAGCTATTGCTGTTGGGAACATTTGTGCTTGAATTTTATCCCACATCTCATTATCTCCTTAGGATAAATTCCTAAAAAAGAATCATTGATTCAAAAGCCATTCAAAGATATTGTACCACTTTATAACCACACCACATATCAATAATACAAGAGAATTCTCTTTACACCCTAACTACACCAAAGATTATCATTCCCCCACCACGCCACCAAAACAAAAGAATTCTTGTCACACCTGTATACCTAGTGAAAGCTGATACTTTTAAAATGAGTTGCTGTACACCATCTAGGTTTTTAAGTCACATTTCTATTAATGTAATTGATTCATGACGTTCCAGAAAATTATGGTACATGAATAATTCAACCAGCATTTCCCTATGTGAAGGGATATTTATTCAATAAATACTAATCGAGAATCCACTATTCGCCAGCCTCTCGGGGCCAAAGCAGTGAATGTAGCAACATGACCCTGCACTCGGAGAATTTAGAAGATAAAGATGAACCAGATGGCAAATACTGTGGGGTTTTTTTTAACCAGAGTGTGGGATGGGGCAGGCTGGGGTGGGGTGGGCCTGGGGATGGTCAGGAGAGGAGCCCCCTGAGCTGGGACCTATTGAAGCTGACTGGCAGTCCCTGCAATAGTGGACACGGGCCTGGGTCCCTGAATGTCCAGTCTGTGGGAGGAAATTACGCCCCACATGCCGTAGCCCCCTTTGTATTTCAAGTGCCGCACAGTACCCCTGGCCGCTTGCCTGTTTTTCTTTTCAAGGCCAGGTCTTACTCAGCTTCTTGTAGCCAAGTTAAAACCAGGACTCTGCTTCCTCCCTGTTTCAGTCAAGGCCCCTGGGATCAGCATGGGGAAGGTCAGCTGTGCCCTTGTACCTGTTCATTCTTGTGTCAAGAACTTGACTTACTACCATTCGCCCTGACCTTATTCCATTTTCATTCACAGATCTTCAGCACATCTGTCCAGTTTCTTCTTGGTTTTGTTTGTTCTATTCTTTATTTGGAAGGCAGGGGGAATGGATGAGGGAAGAGATTATAAAAGTAAAGGCATGCTTGTCACCGAACTAGGAAAGTATAGAAAGATATAAAAACTAGGGGGAGAAATCATTCCTGATCCTCCTGTTCAGAAGCAATCACTTTAATGATGTTGAATTTTTTAATATTTTTCAATACTTTGTTTTTCTGTGCATTTGAAAGTACAGAGCATTCACAACCTTTTTTAAAAAACATGACACTGTATCGTAGGAATTTTCTGAGGTGCTCTGATATTTTAAGTGCTTTGTATCTTCTCATTGTTCAGATGTACTATTGTATATTTAACTCTTTCCCTGGTACTAGACATTTACATTCTCTCCAGTTTCTTCTGCTATAAATGATGCTGCAGGGAGCATTTTTGTGCCTGTATCTCTGCCCCATTTCTGATTGTTTTCCTGAGGTTGCTTTCCCTGAAAGAGACTTACTGCAACAAGGGGCCTGGACTTTGGTGCACATGTCAAACTTTCCTGGAGTCGGCTTTCTCTGTGGAAGCGTGACCTAATTCCTTATCTTTCCTTCCAGAATTAAGGCCTGAACAATGCAGTTAGCTACCTAGCCTTCCCCAGTCTTCCTGGCCTGAGATTTGGGGCGGGGTCTCGCTGTCAGGACAGTGACAGTCTCCTGGCTGTGTCTAGAACTGTGGAGCCCTTGATGTCAAGTCCCGGGTCTTGGCCATCCCTTTGGCCCCAGGGCCTGGCCCCCTGAGCAGTGTTCTTCTCTACCCCCGCCTGCAGCCTCCCGCCCTGGAGGACCAGCTTAGCACCCTCCTGGCCCCGGTCATCATCTCCTCTGTGACCATGATGGAGAAGCTCTCGGACACATACACCTGCTTCTCGACGGAAAATGGCAATTACCTGTATGTCCTTCACCTGGTGAGTGTGCCGCCCTGGGGCCCGTGTTCCTCTGCCCCTTGGTTCCTCGGACAGTGCACACGCCTCTTCCTCATCTTGAACTGCAGACTCCTTTAGAAGGCAGATGCTGCATCTTAGCAAAATCCCCTGGGAACTCACCACCCCCTGCCCCCTCTCCCATCTCTGTCCCTGGGGGCTGGCTGACATCAGCTGATTTCTGTGCCTGCAGTTCGGAGAATGCCTATTCATCGCCATCAATGGAGACCGCACAGAGGGCGAAGGGGACCTGCGGCAGAAGCTGTGCATGCTCAAGTACCTGTTCGAGGTGCACTTTGGGTTGGTGACCGTGGACAGACAGCTCATCCGAAAGGAGTGAGTCCTGGGGTGCTGTGCTGAGCCCCTCTCAAGGCCTTGGTGAAGCTGCTGGTCCCACTCTGCCCCCGTTCCTTCCTGGCACCTCCCTGGGTCTCTCTAGCTGACGTTTGTCATGTATGTGTGAGCGAGAGGCCGAGAAGTGAGGTGAGTTGCTCAGGCACCTGCCTCTCGGTTCCACCCCCGTCCCACTCTGTTCCTTGGCAAGAGCGCAGCCAGATGCACCCCCACTGTGTGTGGGTCCCCCGGTTGTGCTGTGTGGCTCCTCCAGGTGTGCTGTGGGACTCCCCCCCAGCTGTGCTGTGTGGCCCCCCAGGTGTGCTGTGTGGTTCCTCAGGTGTGCTGTATGGTTCCCCCCAGGTGTGCTCTGTGGTTCCCCAGGTGTGCTGTGTGGCTCCTCCAGGTGTGCTGTGGAACTCCCCCCCAGGTGTGCTGTGTGGCTTCCCCAGGTGTGCTGTGTGGCACCCCCAGGTGTGCTATGTGACTCCCCCCCAGGTGTGCTGTGTGGCTTCCCCAGGTGTGCTGTGTGGCCCCCCAGGTGTGCTGTGTGACTCCCCCCCAGGTGTGCTGTGTGGCTTCCCCAGGTGTGCTGTGTGGTTCCCCACGTGTGCTGTGTGGTTCCCCCCAGGTGTGCTGTGTGGCCCCCCAGGTGTGCTGTGTGACTCCCCCCCAGGTGTGCTGTGTGACTCCCCCCCAGGTGTGCTGTGTGGCTCCCCAGGTGTGCTGTGTGACTCCCCCCCCCAGGTGTGCTGTGTGGCCCCCCCAGGTGTGCTGTGTGGTTCCCCCCAGGTGTGCTGTGTGGTTCCCCAGCTGTGCTGTGTGACTCCCCCCCCCAAGATGTGCTGTGTGGCTTCCCCAGGTGTGTTGTGTGGTTCCCCAAGTGTGCTGTGTGGTTCCCCAGCTGTGCCGTGTGACTCCCCCACCCAGGTATGCTGTGTGGCTTCCCCAGGTGTGCTGTGTGGTTCCCCAGGTGTGCAGTGTGGCTTCCCCAGGTGTGCTGTGTGGGTCCCCAGGTGTGCTGTGTGACTCCCCCCCAGGTGTGCTGTGTGGTTCCCCAGGTGTGCCGTGTGACTCCCCCCCAGGTGTGCTGTGTGGCTTCCCCAGGTGTGCTATGTGGCTTCCCCCAGGTGTGCCGTGTGGCTTCCCCTGGGTGTTTGTCACGGGAGCTTGCCCAGCTCTGACAATGATCTCAGACTGCTCCTTTGGTTAAAGCTGGGGACACCACTTTTCTGTGGGTCTCCCTTGCTCTGCCCCAGGCTGCGGCCCCCGGCCTTGGAGCAGCGTGAGCAGGTGTGGGGGCGCTTCCAGAGCCTGCTGTGGACCTACAGCCGCCTGCGGGACCAGGAGCAGTGCTTTGCCGTAGAGGTAGGTGACTACTGGGTGCGGGAGTCCTCGGGCCACAGAAGTGTCAGGCCACGGGGGCCGGGCAGCATTGAGACCATGCTCTGACATCTGCCCCCAACCCCAGTGAGTGAGGGCGCCGGCAGCCCCCTAAGCTCATGCATTTCAGAGGGTTGCTCTTTCTGGCTTCACAGTTAGGCACTCTGATGGGCCTCCCTACAATAACACGGCTAGACTTTGGGTAAAACAGACTTCTTAGTGCAGTTTTTGGGCTCAGTAAGTTATGGAAATTTCTGAAGTTAGCTCCCTTGCCTCTGATCCCTTCCCCCAAATTATATTGAGCTGAAACTAGAGTAGAAAGTAGTAAAAAGTAAGCAGCACTAAAGTCAAGATTGCCTGAGTGCAAATGATGGTACCAAGCTACAGCCAGCGAAGTATGCCTCCAGCCAGCGGCAGGGGAGCTGAGCCTCAACTCCTACTTAAGTGCAGATCTGAGGAGTAGGCTGGTAATCAGTAGCACCCCGTTGCTCCCTATTGTAGACAAACACAGATTCTCTGTAGATCAGAGAACTGGTTCTCCTCTGTATGCATCAGAACCATCTAGAGGACTTATTAGGTGCCTGGGCTTCACTTTTCTCAGTCAGTTAGGCATTGAGGATGGGAGGCTCTATAATTTGCATTTTGAACAAGTTCCCAGGTGACGCTGCTTATGCTGGTCTGGGAACTACATGTTGAAAGCCACTGATTTAGAGAACAGATGAAGAGCAGCAAGTGTGAGCTCACCGTTAACAGTCAGGTTTGCAGGAGAATGAGCCGTGAGCAAGTGTCAGGGGAATCAGCCCCCGACAGAGGTAGACCCCCCAGGAGCTTTATACACTGGTACAGACCGAGCCCCTCAAGGGCACAGCCTGTGTTGGTCTGAGCCTCTGTGCTCCCAAGCTTCTGGCACACGGCATGCGCTTACTGTGGCCCGAGTGAATGTATCACTAGACTTTGTCTGGGACAGGAGGAATTGGGGTGACATGGCTTCCATCCCCCTGCCCGCATGCCCAGGCCGTGGAGCGGCTGATCCACCCTCAGCTCTGTAAGCTGTGTATCGAGGCGCTGGAGCGGCATGTCATCCAGGCCGTCAACTCCAGCCCTGGGCGGGCCGGCGAGGAGGCCCTGCATGCCTTCCTGCTCGTGCACTCCAAGTTGCTGGCTTTCTACTCCAGGTGAGCCCCAAGACCCCTCACATTCACCCTTTCTTCCAACCCCTTCCTGAAAAGTACCACCTCCTGGGCCAGGGAAACCTTCCAGACCCATCACTTCCAGGAAGCGTTGATTCTTAGATTCTTAGTTCTTCATCCCCCTCAGTTCACTCCCTCTCTGATTTATTCCTTCCTGGAATACTGTCTCAGAGTCTGAATTTAGGGTTTCCTGATACGCCATTCCTGGTCCCTGGTGGTTTTCCACAGGTCATTTTTTTTTCCAACACAGCCAAGTTTTATTTTTAAAACTGAATGAGTTCATTAATTTTGTATATTCCATGTCTTTCTCAGAAGAGGATAAAGTCAGCTGGCATGTTTATAAACTGTGGAGGGCAGGGATCCTGCCCCAGACCCCCTTACCTGCCTTCTCCCACCCACTGCCACCTGTGGGCAGGGGCCGTGGGCACGTGCTGACCGGCTGCCTGTCCTCTCCACAGCCACGGTGCCGGCTCCTTGCGCCCAGCCGACCTCCTGGCCCTCATCCTCCTGGTGCAGGATCTCTACCCCAGCGAGAGCACAGCAGAGGACAGCGACCCCCAGGTCTCTCTCGGGGCAGCACTCTGGGCAGTGGGAGGCCACCAGAAAGGCAACTCGGATGGCCAGCCTGGAGAGTGCTGGGCAGGCAGCTGGGGAGACTGGTTTCTAAGTCTCAGTCCTGGATGTGTGGTTGGGCATGACTTTTCTAGCTGCTTTCAGGTGCAGGGAATTCTAGAAGGCAGGTGGATTAGTGGGTTAAAAGTGCAGGTTTCCGGAGTCACGTAGTCCCAGCTCCGCCACTTAGCTGTTTGCTGTGCAAGTATTCACTCCATCGGAGCCTCAATTTCCTCATCTGTGCAATGGGACAACCATGGCATCTACTTCTCAGGGTTGTCATGAGGAATAAAGGTGGCAGTTTACTTGGAGCCCAGCGGTGCCTGGGGCATAGTGAAACGCTCAGTAAGTGCTGGCCACCGTGGTTGCCACACCATCCTCCTCATCAGTGGCAGTGTGGCAGTGATTTGGATGCCAATTTGTTGGACTTTGTAGAATTTCTGTGGTTCTGGAGAAAGACTAGAAGTGAAACATCCCTGGGAAGTGAGGGCGTGCACTCAGGGCTGTGCAGTGGAGTGGGCGCAGGGGCTGGTGAGTCCCCTGAGGGCTGTGCCGTGAAGCGCTGGGAGGAAGAGAAGCCAGTCAGGCAGCTTTAACCAGCATCCGCGGGCCTGTCCTGTCACAGCCTTCCCCACGGAGGCCCCACCGCAGCCAGAGCATCCCCGTGCAGCAGGCCTGGAACTCTTGTTCTGCAGACCCAACCAGGAATTCGGGGACCGTATGTGCTTTATACTGTGGGGAGGGGCCAGGAGGGAAGAGGAGGGGAAGGTCTGCCTCTCCTCGGAGAGCAGGGTCCAGGGCTGAGCCCCCTGGGAGAGCCTCCCTAAGCCCTCAGCCCAGGTGCCCCTTCTCTCTCCCAGGAGACAGACAGCTTCTCCCCCATTGAGGAGTACTTCACACCAGCTCCTTCCCCTGGGGAGCAGAGTTCAGGTGAGACCTACAGTGGAGGAGGGACCCTGGACCGTGAGGGGGAGGAGGTGGGTGCCAACTGGTAGCCCTGGGAATCTGTCCTAGGGGTCAGTGGATCCCAATGCCCTGTAAGAGCCCAGGCACAGACACCCACATTCCTAGAGCCCAGGACGCTGTCTGCTGCAGCCTGTCTGTCTGTCTTGCCAGCTCCAGCTTGAATTCAAGGACTATTGAGGCTACTTCAGTGATCCATAAAACTTTTTATGACAAGTCGATTTCATTTAAAAGTTCAACTCGCATATGTGTGCTCTCACTACCTTTTGTAGTTAATAAGTAATCAGCTAATTAATAGTTTATTTCCAGCACAGTGGTTTAAAATATCAGTATTCAATCTGTATAGTTTATACCTTACTTCCAAAGTATGTGGACAAACAATTAAAAAAAAACCCAAAAATGTTTGAAATATTATTAACAAAGAAAAAAAGGAGCCTGGGACCTCTGAGGCCACGTGGCAGCTCATCTCTGCTTGTCCACTTCTCCAGGGCCAAGGTCACAGCTTTGCTGGGTTTTGTAAGCTTGCCACAAGCCCAAACACATCAGAAAGCGCTACTTTGGGGTGATGGCTGAAGTTCTGTTTTCTTCTCACTGCTTCCTCCCCTTGTTCCTCCTCCTGACCCCTTTCTCTCAGAAAGAGTTTTTTCATGCCTCAAAGCTGTAAATAATTCCTGTTCACAGTGCACAGAAGTCACAGCTTACAAACGGCTTGAGTTTCTCTCATCCATTTTAAGTCAGGTGTTTGAAACACAGGCTTTCTCCAAGAAACGCGATTATAAATGATGGTTTTTTGCAGTGAAATATACAAGAGAACACAATTAGTACAAAGCTATAATATTTCAAATATGTACTTGGTTCAGTAGTTTTCGTGAGCTGTCCTAGGAAGGGAAATCTAGTTCAGTTCCCAGCACACAGTAGGTGCTTCAGTAAAAGTTTGCTGATTGACTAAATGAGCGGGGAACTGTAGACTGTGCTGCCTCCCAGGGAAGAGTGAAGAGGCACTGTTATAGCCAGAGAGGGGCTCAAAGGGGCAGAGAGGACAGAGACAGGGAGGGGGCTGGGGGCTGAGGAGGGGTCTGAGGGACCTGCCCCACCAGTGCGAGGCCCAGGGACGGGAGCTCGTGCCCAGCAGCCAGCTTGGGGGTGGGGAGGCGGGGGGCGGGCAGGGGTGCCTCTCTTCCCCAGCCCAGGCTGCGCTAGCTGTGGTTTTCCATGGAGGGAGCTTGCCCTGCACCCGCCAACTTGGGGTAGAATGAGAAGGGGAAGGCTCTCCAGTTCACACTGAGGTGCTCTGCCCAGTGAAGTGCTGTGAGCTGCCAGCGCGGGAAGGGCCTCTTTTCCATCCTCCCCTGCTGACAGGCTGTTGGGCCGGTATTTACATCTTCCCACTGTTTCTGTCATCCTGTTATCATCTACGGTCTGTCTGCAGGTAGCACCATCTGGCTGGATGGGGGCACCCCACCTACTGACTCTCCCCACATCCAGGTGAGTTTCTCCTGGGGGCCCAGGGCGCTTGGCCAGGGTACCAGCTGATCCGAGATGCTGCAGAGGGTCCTGGGGACTCTGAGGGTTTCTCCTGGGGTGACTCTCCAGCCGCACCGGTCTTCCTGGTGCTGTCTCACGGCTGTCTGGCCAGTGCAGGGGACAGAAATCAGCCCAGAGGTGAGGGCCGGGGGTAGGGTGAGGAGTGGTGGGTGAGGGTGGCCTTCTCCCTCCCTCCACCCCTCCCCTAGACACACAGCCTCCACTTCTGAGAAATCCCCACCCTCACTGTTCTTAGTGAAAGTCTAACTTAATTTTTAATGGTTTTTTTTTTTTTTTAAATAAGAAAGTAAATATGTTCACTGTAGAAAAATTGGGGAAAACAGAAGTAAAATATGGAAAAGGAATAAAAATCACTCAGTCCCAACCCCAGATGTTAGCTTTTGTTGAACACTTTTGGAGTGTTTCCTTCGAGGCTTTCCTATGACTTTATAAATGTATTTACACACACACACACACACACACACACACACACACATATTTATTTTTTCTTTTACCCAATTTGAATCCTAACGCTCTTCATTATTTTTTGTTTTGAGCATTTTCCCATTGACGAGGCAGTCCTTGACAATGTGGTTTTTAACGAGACTATTCAGAGTGCATCGCCTGCATTATGTTATTATTTACTTAGCAAATGCTTGGAACAGCCAGTGCGTTGCATCCAGTCCTTTGCTGTCGTCGTAAGACTACCGTGACTTACTTACAAAGAAGCTTTTGTGGCATCCCTAATGATTCCCTTAATTTTCCGCTTCTGCCCACTGAAGACTGTTACTCAGAGCCCTCCTGAGGCTGGAGTCTTCTCACTTAGTCCTGGAAGCCCTCACTTGTACCTTTAGAATGACTTTCGGAGGTCTGGAAGGCAGTCAAATGATCAACTGTTAGTAGGCTTTAAACCATTTGTGTATATGAAGTTGGGGAGGAGCCTCCCTCCCCCCGCCAGCTCATGCCATCCCATCTGCTTTTCCCACTTTCCTTTCTTCCTTTTCCCCTTTCTTACTACCCACCACCTCTGTGTGGCGTCCAGTCCTGACTGTACAGAAGGGCCCCAAAGATGCTGAGAGAGACAGACAGACAGCAGGATGGGAGCTGCCAGGGGAATCTCAGCAGAAGGCCAGCATTTAGGAACTGGGACTTTGGGGGCTAGAAGAGTTTGTCCCTCGAGGTTCCGAGGGAGACAGCAAGTGGGCAGCTGCAGGGGGGACCCAGCCTGGGGAGGATGCCTGACAACTGCCCCTCCTGTCCCACTGACAGCTCCTCTTCCTCCCCAGATGGCTGAAGACACCCTCCAGACGCTGATCCCTCCCTCCCCAGGACCCTCTGGCCCCAGAAGGATTTTCCTGGATGCCAGCGTGAAAGACAACTACTGCCCCATGGTGCCACACACCATGTACTGCCTGCCCTTGTGGCCAGGCATCAGCTTGGTGTTCCTGACCAAGGTATCAGCACCCCCGCCTGCCCTGGGGCCATCCCGGCCTGGACGCCCGCCCCACGGCCACCCTGTGCGTCTCCCCTCAGTGCCCCAACACGCCTCTGGCCCTGGCCCTGTACCAGCTGTTGGATGGGTTTTCTCAACTGGAGAAGAAGCTGAAGGAGGGGCAAGAGGCTGGGAGCGCCTTGCGGTCCCACCCCATCATGGCGGACCTCCGCCAGAGGATGGACAAGTTTGTCAAGAATCGAGGGGGCCAAGAACTTCAGGTGAGACGCAGGCCCCGGTTGCCCCACCTCGGGGAGGGGAGGCAGGGCCTGTTCTCGTCACACCGGAGGGGCCAAGGCTCAGGGGAGGGGGCCGGCCTCTGCCCCACCCCCACCAGGGGACCGTGATCCTGATCCCCCACAACACAGCAGTGCCCTTGATGTTTCCTAAACATTCTTGTGTGACTTTGGCAGAACACGGGTTCCAGCTCCCGTGATTCAGATGAGGAAACCAGGGCGGGACGCAGATAGACGGTGATTCAGCCAGAGTTACCAGACGGGTGAGCGGTGGAGGAAGAGCCCAGCTCGAGGGCTCAGTAATGGCCAGTGGTCGGCCCACCGTGCCCCTCACCACGGGGCTGGGCTCACAGGCTTCAGGACACAGGGAGGCCGTTGCACCCACAGGGGGCTTAGAGCCCAGGTGGGGTCATGAGGCCCAGACACAGGGACAGTATCTGAACAGAGGAGGAAACCAGGTGCAGTCCAGGCAGGAGCCGAGGAGGGACTCGCCAGCGGAGAACCCTGGGCTGAGATCGGAGGCCGTTCCTGTAGTTGGCAGGGCTTGGGTTTGAGGAACTGAGATTCATTGCAGCTGAAGTTTGCACTGGTTTGAAAATAAGCAGGGGATTAGAGCAGGCGACTGAAGCCCAGTCAGTCCACAGTGCCCCATGTCTCTTGGTGCCCGGCATGCCCCAGTGAGGTCTCAGGGGGCAAAGATGCCTAAAGGGGATCAGCACCCCCGCCCTTGCCTGCAGCCACCCCACCCTCAAAGCACTGACCTGTCTCTCTGACAGCACTGGTTTACATGTCTGCCAGCGAGGCCAAGAGCCTGGGACTCGAACCCAGAAGCTGCTCTTTAAGTAAAGCCTGCTGAGTGACTAGACCATGGTGTACAGTGGGCTGCAGCCTGCTGGGGGCCCTGCCAGAGACCCAGCCTGGCTGTGGACAGCAGCTGTGTGCTGGGCCTAAATAAGCCATGGAGATGGGGAGCCTTCTAGAGCCCGACATCAGAGCTCCCCTGGACCTCACTGTGGGAACACTGTCAGGAAGACACCTGTCACTTGTCTGCTTACAGAGAACCTGGCTGGAGTTCAAGACCAAGGCCTTCTCCAAAAGTGAGCCCGGCTCATCCTGGGAGTAAGTGGTGGGCTCTGAGGTCAAGGAGGGCATCGTTTGGACAAGGGGGCAGGTTTCCTCCAGGTCCAGGAGGAAAAGATGCTTGGACAGAGGGGGTCCTGGGAGGGCAGGTCCAACCCCCACGATGCTGAGGGGAGGCTGGGGGCAGAGAAGACAGAAGTTGAAGAGCAGGGCCTGAGGACCCAACACCACTAGCAGAGACCCAGGTTCCGCACGGACCCAGCGTGACCTTGGGCAAATCACTGCACCTTGTTTCTCCATAAAATAAACCAGAAGGTTGGAGGTGATTTGAGTTTCTCAGAGCCCCATGCTGGGGGAAAATGGAAGCTGACTCCCAGCTCAGTGAGGGCCAGGGTGTAGTTCATCAGCCACATCCATCAGTCCAGGAGGAGGGTGACCACAGGGATGGGGCACTGTCCTGGGTGCGGCCCTCCGGGATCCTTCCCTCTGTGACAGTTCATCTCTGGCCCCCAGGCTGCTCCATGCGTGCAGGAAGGTGAAGCGGCAGCTATGCGTTGTCTATCGGTTCAGCTTCCTGACCATGACCCCTGGCTGTGGGTGCCCCCACCTGCCCCAGCACCTGCAGGACCAAGTCCAGACGCTCATGCAGTAAGTGGCGGTGTGAGCCCTTGACGGCTGGGGCGGGCGCCGGGCACGCCTCACCCTCCTGCTCCCCTGCTCCCTTGGCAGGGAAAAGCTGGCGGACTGGAAGGACTTCCTGCTGGTGAAGAGCAGGAGGAACGTCACCATGGTGTCATATCCTGATGCCCGGCCCTGGGCTGCTGCCTCCTCTGCTCACTCACTTGAAGGACAGCCACTTTAGGGAAAGAGAGCACATAGTTCGCATCTCAGCTTCCTTTTGCTGAAGAAAGTGAGGAGACTTTAGTGTCCTGGAAGTGTCCTATCTGTAGGAATGCTCTGAGGCTGGAATTTCATAAACCCCTGGCGTCCACGATGACTTCATAGAGATCATCTGTGTAGGTGTTGTCCAGCCAGCAAAGTGGCAGTAGGTCTCCCAGGAGGGGCAGGGGCCTGGGGTCAGATAGGTTTGAGGGGCTGAGTCCCCCCTCCTTAGATGCTACAGTGCAGTGGAGTATGAAGGCTCTGAGAAGGCCAGCAATAAATGTGTTTATTGGTCCCTGTTTAAAAGCCATGTCCTTAAGACTTACCCTTTTATTAGAGAACTAGCTTTATCAAATACTGGTCTTCCCTGAAACTTTATATGAAGAGTCTTTTTCAGTATTAAAATTTCCTGAGACTTCGGTCTTCAGCATGCAGGTAGAAGGGGTGACAGAGGGCCTTGCCAGCCTCCAGCCACTGCCCGTCCTCTCAGAGGACCCTTCCAGCTCAAGATGAGGCCTAGAGATGAAGAGGACTATGGCGAGGCGTGTGGGTGGCGGCCAGTGGGGCTCACTCTCAGCTCTGTAGCTCTGCTCACCATGGCCTCACCATGTGTGTCATTTAAACCCATTCAGCCTGAAGATGGTAAAACATAAGCATGCTGTGTTCCTTGGGAGCACAGCTCCCGGCGTTCAATGTGCCAGAGCCGGAGATCCATTGTACTTGCATCTTAGACCTTTTTTTGGGAGTTCAAAGGGAAAGTGAGACCTGGGAAAGAGGGTATCCTGGGAGGGTGGCTGAAAAGGAAGCCTATGGGGCAGGGGGGGTCAGTGCTTGAAGGAAGCCTAGGTGGATGGAGGAGCTCCTTCCCTGGTTCTGGCTTCAAAAGCACCTTAACTCAGCCCCTTACCTTCCTGGAAGACTTCCCAGGCCTGGTGCATTTCATCTACGTGGACCGCACCACTGGTCGGATGGTGGCCCCTTCCCTCAGCAGCAATGAAAGGACTTCATCGGAGCTGGGCAGGGGGCCCCTGGCCACCTTCGTCAGAACCAAGGTAACCTGGGCCAGCCCAGGCACTCTCCCTGCGTGTCAGACAAGGTGTCCCTCGACCCCTGCCTGGGAGGGCTAGTCCCCGCCCTCGAGCCCCTGGGAAACTCCGAGCACCCCCATGGGAACCCTTACTGCATTCTTCCTCTGCGTCCAGCTTTGTAGGCTCCTAAGAGAATGGTCCTGTCTTTGTCACCCTAGGGCCCTGGCCAGTGTGTGGGGCCATCTCCCCAGATGTGTTAATGTTCCTGGAGCAACAGTGTCTGGGTAGTGAGGCCAGTGGGGGAATGGCTGGGTCCCAGTAAGGGTTTGTTGAGTTCACTAAGACAGAAAGAGGACACACAGGTTAATGGATTTGAGTATCAGGATGAAAAGGTAGGTTTCTGCAGAGGAAACAGTCTCCAGGGCTCCTTTATTTTCTTTGATTCATCTTCATGGCAAGCTAGTATTTTTGCTGGGGAGGCCTCTGCCACGTTATAAAAAGCTATATTTTATACATATATAATACATAATAGGTTACTATGTATTATACATGTTACATATATTTTACATTATTATATATTATATATGTATATTTTATATATCCAAGTAAAGTGTGTCCATAATGGTGAAAACAAGGTCACTGACAGCCCATTGGAGACCCAGCTCTGCCCCTCACTAGTTGTGTGGCCTGGGGCGGTAGGGAGTCTTAAGTTTCAGTTGCCTCTTCTATAAAAGAGAACAGTAACACCAGTAACGTCGTGGAGTTAGTGCACAGATTACAGATGCACACACACGGTGATGCGCAGCTCATGGCACCGAGTGTAGTTGGGGTTGGTTGAGCATTTCCTGGGACCATCCACACTGGCATCTTCATCTCCTTCCAGGGTAGCTGGGGTTATCTTGGTACATTTCTCTCCGTCATTTTCCTGTGCAGTTTGTTGTAGTTGAGGTCATCATTCATATGCAGTGTGTTTCCCGCATTTTTACTTCACTTTGTATCTGGTGCATTTCCTCATGTCATTAATTCTTTATCAACATGATTCTCATCAGCTCCGCAGCAGTCCATCATGGGAACGCAGCATCATGTACTTAGCCATTTCCTCAGTGTTGAACACTGAGATTGTTTGCAGATTCTATCATAAATAATTCTGGGGCACACACCTCTAGGCATTTATCCTTGTCCTCATCTCTGATTATTTTCTCAATATGGGTTCCTGGAAATGGAATTATGAAGTCAAGTGGCAGGAATTGTTTTTAAGGTTATTGATATTCGTTGTCGAATTGCTTTCCTGAAAAATAGAGCAAGTCCATGGTATTTGTTTGCATTTAATTAGATGCTGTGTGTGATCAGGTTGGGAGTGGCTCGTGTACACCTGTCACTAAGCGTCTTGGTTGGAGTGCAGCAGGCCTTGGCCAGCCCTGGGAGGTGGGGGGGTGGGGGCAGAGGTGCCCCCTGCTGCCAGCTCCTCTCAGGCAGCTCACAGGCAGCAGCAGAAGTCCTTGAATCAGGGAGGAGAGCCTCGCAGAGAGGACCTGAGGCACGTTGACCCTCGGTCACTGTGTTCCCATTGGTGCCCTTGGTGAGCCCTCGTTCAGATTTCACCTCAGAGCAGGGGATGTCCCAGGGCCAGGGCACTGTGCATCCAAACACTTTTCTAGCACTTTCCTGGCATAGAGCCACGCCAGAGATCCTCAGCCCTGAGGGGGTCTGTGTGAGCCCTCGACATCAGAAGTGTTCCAGGTGGCCACCCTCTCGTCTCTGCTTGTGTCCCTGGCTCTGTTCTGGCCTGAAAGATGAATTTGCTACTTTATAGCTTGTGTATATAGTGAAGATTCATAAAGTGTTGATACGTATGTTTTGTCCTTGCAGTAGTGAGAGGGATAGGTAGTCCGTCCATCTATCCATTGTCCGTTTATTACTAAGCTCCTGCCCTGAGCCAAGGCTGGGCCCAGGCACCAAGGAGGAAGATGAGCAGGAGAGGCCCCTGGCCTTCCAGGAGTCCTCCTCCAAGTGCTTTTTTTCACTGGGATTTGAGAGCCGGAGCCCAGCCCCCAGCCTGGGGCGAGGGCAGCCCTCAGGCTGCAGACACAAACACCGTCCCCTCCCCCAGGTCTGGTCTCTGATCCGACTGGCGCGCAGATACCTGCAGAAGGGCTACACCACGCTGCTGTTCCGCGAGGGGGATTTCTGCTGCTCCTACTTCCTGTGGTTCGAGAATGACATGGTGGGTGTGGCTGGCCCGGGCAGGGCAGTCCTGCAATTCTCCCTTTCTCCTGGATTCTGTTCAGTCTGTCTCTCCAGCTGTTCTTGTCACCAGTGGGACTGACAGCGAAGCCCAGCTGGTTGGGACCCAGAGCTCAGGTCCGCCTTTGCAGTCAGGCTCTGTGACCCCTGCCCCCAGTTCTCTGAAAAACTCACGCTGTTGTTCAAGAGGCATCCAGGTAACACATGAACAGACCGCCATGCCCCATGTGAGCCCGCACTTTCTGTGGTACAAAGCCTCGCTTCCTCTTCCCATTGCTGAGACAGGTAAATGGAGGCTGAGAGCAATTAAGCAACCTGCCCAGGGCAAAGCTGCTCACACCTCTCATGCCGTTTCTGCCCCTGGCAGCACGCCCTCCTTCCCCTCAGCCTGAGGTCGCGGCATCCCTTTCCATGGTGCAGTGTGGCTGTTGGGGTCTTGCCGCTCTCACAGCCTCACACCTATACAGCCCATGTGTTGGTTGGGATGAGTGTCTCCGATCCCATTTTGCAGATGGTGGAACTGAGGCCCTGAGATCAAACACCACGGCCAGGGCACCGAGGTCCTAAGTTATGATGTCAGAACCTAGGCTTGGCTTCCTGACCTGCAGGCTCCCATCTTTGCTCTGTGCCCTCCTCAGAGGTGCCCAGGACGTGGGGCTGAGCATCACCTCAGCCTCTAGGGAGAGACAATGCTCTCTGTGTGTGTGGTTGGCCTCATGGGGTAATAGGCGGGTGGGTTCAGGACTGCAGGAACCCCATGACGCCACCTGGCACATGGTGGGAGCCCAGCAGAGCCTGAGTCGCTACCCCAGCGTGTCCTTCCCTGGGATTCCCAGTCCTTGCAGGGAGAGACTTGGCATTTGGTTACAGTTTGCTCTTACCGACACCTCCCTAGTCGCCGTCCCTCACACTGAGCCAGGTGCAGTGGTTGGTGGGAATGAGAGCTACCACCGTGGTGCCCGCTATGGCCCCAGGAACTTTATGTTCATCACATCTAATATTCTTGGGAGTTTATTCTTACCCCCAGTTCACAGATGAGAAGAGAGGGTAGAAAGACGTCAGTGCACTTTCCCAGCACCAACCACTACCACTTGCTAATCAGGGCTGAGCCGGGCCTCAGACCCACTAAGTCTGACTCAGACCCATGGTCTTCCCACCATGCCAACCGCCTCCCCACTCACGAGGCTCCTCCTCCTCCCCCAGGGCCACAAACTCCAGATCATGGAGGTGCCTGTGCTGTCTGATGACTCAGCTCCTGTCGGCATGCTGGGAGGAGACTACTACAGGTGACGCCGACCCAGAGGGCCACTGGGCACAGAGGGGGACAGATGACAGATGATAAGTGCCCGTCTCAGCAGAGGGAGTAGCCCCTACTTGAGGAGTGTTTCCTTGCCCCCTACCACCGCCCCGAGTCCGCCCTCCTTGTTAGAAGCTCCTCACGGCCCAGCACTCAGAGGAAGAGAGTGGGGTGCTCTTGGGGTTCCTCCCCTCCTGTTGCACACCGAGACAGCATTTGCAGCTGTCTCTGCTGGGCTCCTGGGACCTTCCCTAGCTGGCTCTGTGGCCCCATAGCTGGGGCCCTGCTGTCCAGGGTTGGGATTCCAGGGGGTGGGCCATGGCGGCCTGGGGCTGAGCCTCAAAAATGGGGAGTCAGCAAGGAGCAAGGAAGTCCTTTCCAGCCTGGTGCTGGAGTCCAGTGAGGGACCTCATGCCCATGTGGTGCTGGGAGAGGCCCCTGGCCCTGCTCCCTCCTGAACGCTGTCCTCCTCCCCCTCTTCCCCAGGAAGCTCCTACGGTGTTACAGCAAGGGCCACCCGGCCGAGGCTGTCGGCTGCCATGAGCTGCTGACCCTCCACCTGTCGGTTGTACCCACGGACGTGCTGGTGCAGCAGGCTGGCGAGCTGGCCCGGCGTCTGGGCGAGGCCTCCCACATCCCCCTGCTCTAGAACCAGGAGGGCTACCCTGTGCATCAGCCTATGCCCCGGTTCCCCAGGCCTGCCTGGCTCACAGACAGTGCCATGGCAAGAGCCTCCTCCTGTCCACGGCGGCCCCGGGGATGGCACTGTCCCCAGGGCAGCCCCAGGATGTCTTAAAGAAATTCACTTAGAGCCACCTCCATTGTGGATAATGAGTAAACCCCCAAAGCCTGCCTTCTGGAGAAAGAAGAGGGCCAGTCTCCTTAGAGCAGCTGTGAATGTGGGCTTAGACCCAGGACCTCCCCACTTTGGGAACCGCCTCTGCATTCACCCCAGGAGACCGACAGGAAGCGCCCAGCTCTTGGAGTGGAGAGAGCGCCTCAGGAAGCTGTCTCCTCCCCGCGTGAAAGGTGCTCCCCTGGCTGGGTTGAGCTCTGGCTCTGCTATGTCCTCGATGTGGCTCTGGACGGGTGTCCCCCACCTCTGAGCCTGTCTCCCCACACACAGTGTGACTGCGCCCCCGTCAGGACGGTTGTGGGGCTGCAGGACGGGCGGCAGCACTCAACAAATTCTGGTCACAGTTACTGTTGGGGTCCCAGCCCCTGGCCCGTCTTGGTGGCCTCTTTGTTCCCTTCTTGGTTCTCGGTCCTGCCCCAGCCCTGCCCTAGAGGTCCGTGTCACTCAGTCCCACGGATCCCAGGCTATGAGGCTTCTCAAAGCTTCCCGGGGAGGGGGCGGGCGGGGCGGGGGTGGTCCTGGTGTGCCCTGGATTGAGAGCACTGCCCTGGGTGCAGCCCCCAACCTGAGAACAGACACAAGGACAAGAGGCCGGCAGGGCCTGGGACCTGGGAGCGCCCACTACTCGGGCTCAGAGGCCACGGCTGGGACGGAGGAAAGAGAGGAGGCGAACGCAAGCACGGCGCAGTGGAGCCGAGGGTTCACGTGTGACACCAGATGAGAGCTGAATTTCACGCAAAGACTGTTCTTTCCCTTTAAGTGAGCAGCTTGCGGGGTCATGGGTACTGAAAAAGCTAGAACCACACCTTGGGCTAAAGGCCTCAGAAGGTGGCAGTGAGGGACAGTCAGGCGGTGACGGGGACTGCCTTCCTCCTTAATGTCCTGACGTCACCAATGGGAATTACCACACGATTGTGGAAGATACAGAAGAGCAAAAGGGGAAGAACTAAAGCCTAGATTCCACTCTTGTCACCTACTATTTTCCTTTACTTGTTAACCACTATGTGATGTGGCAAGTCCAGTTTAACCAGTCTTTTTCGTTTTTCAGTATTATAAATAATACTGAGGAGAAGGTCCTGACTTGTATTTTAGCAGAGACACACAGAGTGTAAATTTTCCATGGTGTGTGGAGGGGTGTCTGAGTTGAGAGTAGAAATGTCCCCAGGAGTCCCTCTTACCCAGAGGCAACTTTCCACATTTTCTCCTAATTGTGAAATGCACTTCTAATAGTGGGTTTCTAGAAGGCTGACAGATGTCAGAGGTGTACAGAGACTCCCAACCCCTAGGGTGCTTTTATCCTACATGGGGAATGGCCTAACCAGTGGGTAGGGAGCAGAGGGGCCCCTAATTCAGGACAGGGCACAGGAGAGTGAGCACTTAGCTGAACCTTTTTACAGATGTGGTCTTTAAATCCTTGAGGATTCTTGGGAAATGAGAGAGGTACCAAAATATGCAAGAAAAATGTTCAGACCTTCAAAAGAAAAAGGCGGACCCCAGAATCACAGAGAACTGAACTAACCCCCCAAACCTTTCCAGCTTTGTGAAAGCCTGTGAAGCGGATGGCATTAAAGCATTTTGGCAAGGACGCGGGGCTCTCTGGCTGTCCCTGGGGCAGATTGCCCCCCTCCCCCCGCAGTGTTGCAGAGGCCCCGGTCCTTCAAGCAGCAGGTCCCTGAGCCTGCTGCAGGCATAGAGCAACTACCCTGTTACAAGCCGGAAGGACAGGAAGTTGGACCTAAGTCCATCTCTTTACTTGGATTCCCACCCCCAGCTCATCCTGGACATTGAATTCCTTAATGAGAAGCAGGACAGCGCAGGAGAGGGGACGGCCCTTTGGAACACACATGTACACGCACGCGCGCACACACACACTCGTCTGAGCCTCAGTGCTCCCCGTCTGGGGCCCACATGAGGGGTTGCCCGACTGGTCGGCACAGCGCCTGGCACAGCAGAGCCCTGGAGAATGAGCAGCACAGTGATCGCTCTGGAGGCGCAGGACCTCTGCCAGGTCAACAGGTGACCGCCCATGACTCTGCCCCGGGTGGACAGGCCAAGCCGCGGGCAACTCAGTGTCCCCTTTTAGTCGTGGCCCAGGGCCAAATACGGCAGCTGGGCTGCAGCTCCTCCTCTTCCTCCTTCTCCCTGCCCCTCCCCCTGCCTGGAGAGGCACAAAAGGCTGCTTGCAAGCAAATTCCCAGCCTAGTCCTAGGCAGAAATGACCGCATATGGCCGAGGGCTCAGCAGGGCCATGGGTGCCTCTCCCCACCCCGCATGGAGACGAGCTCTTTCGGACACCAGGGGACGCCTGAAGCCTGAGTACGATGCAGTGGTGGTAGGCGCAGGTAAAGCGGGCTTGGCTGGAGTTGAGGGGCCAGAGGGCAGCCTGCTTAGAATCCTGGTGTGTGGGGGGGGGTGGGGAGCATCCACGCCCCTGGCTTCTCACTGCTTTGGCACAGGCTGGCTAGGATTTGGGGTGAGAGCAAGTGCTAGGGTGAAAACTCCACCCGTCTGCGAGCAGGTGCCAGGATTCTGGAGCTGGCTCTGCCGTCGATTTGCTATGTGGCTTGGAGCAGATTTTTGCCCTCCATGGGCTTGAGTCTTCCCATCTAAAATGACCAGGGAGGACTAAGTGAGCTCAGGAGTTTCCGTGTATCTCCTGTGAAATTAACTAGTTGCTGCCACATTCTTGGAAAACAAATGGTAGATAAGGGTTGCAAGGAAGGAGCCCTGGTACAACAGACCTGTGAAATCCTGCCATCCCAAGTGTCCTGGGGCTTCCCTGGTGGCTCAGATGGTAAAGAATCTGCCCGCAGTGCAGACCTGGATTTAATCCCTGGGTTGGGAAGATCCCCTGGAGAAGGAAATGGCAACCCACTCCAGTGTTCTTGCCTGGAGAATCCCATGGACAGAGGAGCCTGGCAGGCTACAGTCCACGGGGTCACAAACAGACATGACTGACTGTGTGAGCAGTTAACACAAGTGGCCTGAGTTCTGGTCACCAGCACCTGACCACTGAGGCCATCCTGAGGACACTACAGTCATTCCGTCAAGGGGAGTTAGGGAAAAATAGACACGAGTCCCAGAGGTCCTCCTGCCTATCTGCAGAAGTGACAGCCCCCACTGCCTTGCCCGGCTGGGCTGCACAGGACCTGCTGCAGTGACCCGCTGCGCTTTGCTGAGCCCCAGGCTGCAGGGCACTGATTCCACCCTGAGCCTGTGAGGTACCAGGCCAGGACCAGGCTCCTTTTCTTGGGGCCTTCCACTCACAGGGAGCCTCAAATTCTACTTCTGACGTTATTTCCAACTGGGTTTATACAGAAAGGGGATAACAGGCCTGGAAAGACCTGCTCATCACATGGCTTTAAAGCTGCATCCCTTTCTGGGCCTTTCTTCATTTTCATCCCTATGGAGAGCTGTCCTGTGCTGTTAAGTGCTTACCAGTAACCTCTCCAGGGGAGAATGTATGCACTTATATCCATACATAAGTTTATTGTAAATAAGTCAGAGAAGTGTAGCACAGTTTTGCAGCTAAAATATACAATACTCTAAATTCCAGGCAGCCAGTCCACTCTTAGCAAGTGCTTGTGACTTTTGCCAAACTCAGTAACCAACCTACAGCTGCAGTTAGACAAATGAAAATAGTTCTGAAGGAAACGTTTGATATTTTTATTTTCTTTAAAGAGCAGAAAGAAAGTGAAACAAAGATTTACGTCAGAACTTCTCTCCTCCTTCAACAGTTGGAATGATCTTGCTCAGTCAGATAATATTTTGCGAACAGGAGAACAATTCCTCAATTGTTTGCTCGGTTTCACAATGTAACTGCTATGGGCACAACTCTCAGTTAAGTTTAATTTGCATTATTAGCATTGTCTCCATCACTTTCTTAAGTCTAACAACCAAAAAAAAAAAAAAACACCCCAGGCCCTGGTGTGTAGTGTTCGTGGATTTCCATGGTATGAATACTCCCACTGCAGCCTTTTTCTAAGTTACCAACGTGATGTCTCTGAATGTGAATTTGGGAGAGAGATGCAGCCAGACATCATCAGGTAGCATGGCCCATGTATGTGTCCATGGATGTAAATAACCGTGAATGCATAGACAACAGGAAAATACAGTAAAACAATTAGGAAGTGACAAGCTTTGAGTGAGATTACCTTTGTTTTTAATATCATTATTTCTTTGTGAGTTTATATAATTTTTATCAGGGGCTGTGTTTGACAACTGTCTCACCAACTTCCAGGGCTGGGGGACTCTAGCTCCAGTGCCCACTGACTCGGCTCAGTAAACAGAAGTTACTCCCCCTTTTCTGCCCTTGGAGACAACCCGCCCCTGCTGTCTCTTGACAGAGAGAATTGATCCTAGGTCCCCAAGTACCTAGGTGAATGGCTCACAAGTGTGCGTCCCAGGTGTGAATTTTTCTTCAATGTTGCTTCTCTGATTGCCAAGCAAGGCAGGAAACCTGGTTTGAAGGCTTATCCAACCTGAATGAGGAGCACAGCAGCATCTTCTGAGATGCAGATCATCTCTGCTCCCTGAAGTAACACTAGTAACATGGGCATCATCCTGATTCAGTTATTTGACCAAATTTGCCTAAAGGATGACCCAAGGAGCTTGTTAAAATGCAGTTCAAAGGCTCCCTACCTGGTGATTAGGGTTCTGAGGGGATCATCACACCTCACCAGCTCTTGGAGTGAATCTGATGTGGCGCCTGCAGCCCACACATTTGGGAACCCCCGTTCAGCACACCCCTCCCCTGCATCCGTCTGTGCCTACTGCATAAGGAACCCTGCAGT